TGCCACCCCCGCCCCCCGCCACCTGCTCCTGACCCAGTGCTCTCTCCTGACAGGTGGCCTACAAGGCAGGAAACGAGCAGTCCGTCCATCAGTACAGCATCAGCAAAGACGAGCCTCTCTTCTTACAGGCCCGAGCCAACGCTGCCAATCTCAGTGAGGTATGGCCAGAGGGGGCGGGGGGCGGCTGTAAACTCTGCTTTCCCGCGTAGGCGCCTGGCCACTGTGCTCTGTCACCTGGGGTTCCACACATCCGGTCGTTGTAAACAGCTCATCCAGCAGACCTCGTTCCTGGCCAGTTGTAGGGGGAGGGAAGGACCACTTTCCCTAGGAACGAGCTGGCGGGAGATTTGACCCACTGACTATAAAACAGGGTAGGAGGCAGTGGTTCTTCCAGGGTCGCGGCTCGAACAGCAGTAGAGCATTGCTAGAAGGAAGGAAGCAGCACTTGAAGGCGTTAGCTCCAAACTGCTTGGGTTTGTTCGATCCTTGGGTCTATCACTTACTAGGTGTGAGACCCTGGGCTAATTCTTTGCACTCAGTTGTCCCATTGGCAAAGGAAGGGTAATACTAGTTCCCGCCTCATCGGGTTGTCACGAGGCTTCAGTGAGCTAATATACGGAAAGCCCTGGGAGGAGGTGGAGTGTGCAGAAGGTAGCCATTACCCAGATGGCTCTCAGACACAAAGCACGCGTGGCCCCAACCTTCTCCTCCCTGTCTTTCAGCAGGGGCCTTCCTCAGCTCTCCCCCTCAGCTCCCAGGTCTTTGGAGCCCTGATCTGAGTCCTAGGTAGAGGGGAAAATTAGAAGGAACAACAGGGGCTAAACTGATTCACACACACAGAGAGGGAGCCTTCAGAAGAGAGACCTTGAAACCCGCAGGTGGGGGCAGGGAGACAAAGATACGCAGCTGTGGCACCTGCTGGGCTGAGCGGGCTGTGTGCGCAGGGGTGGGGAACCTTCCGGAAATGTTGCCGGGCGTTTTGCAATGTTATTCCACCTCGGGCATGTCTTTGAGACCCCCATGAAGACTCCTGGTAGTTTTCAAGGCCTCTGGAGTTCAAACTCAGCTTCTTTTGACCGAAGCCCTGTGTGTTAGGAGGCCTTGAGGCAGGAACAAGGAGGTCTGGTGGTGTTCAGGTTACCAGGTTTCTGTGGAAGGACGCCGTCGTGTTTGCCTCCTGGAGAGAGCGTTACAGAGTCTAGGGAAGGCTTCCCGCAGGAGGATGATCTCTTTTCTCCCCCACCTCCTCAGAAACTGTATAAGAGCAGCTGGGAAAACCAGAAGGCGAAAGGGTTTGAGCTACGTCTTGACTCCTTGGCCTTCCTGGCAGCCAAAGCCAACAGGGACCTGGCCAGCGAGGTGAGTAGGTGCTCAGCTTGTACAGGGCGCCACGAATCCTGCCGTTTTCCATCTAGGAGAGTCAGAAAGGGCCTGAGCCTCAGGGTCCCATCGGCGAAGTGGGGATAAATACAACTGCTTCATGGGGCGCCTGGGTGGCGCAGTCGGTTAAGCGTCCGACTTCAGCCAGGTCACGATCTCGCGGTCCGTGAGTTCGAGCCCCGCGTCGGGCTCTGGGCTGATGGCTCGGAGCCTGGAGCCTGTTTCCGATTCTGTGTCTCCCTCTCTCTCTGACCCTCCCCCGTTCATGCTCTGTCTCTCTCTGTCCCAAAAAAATAAATAAACGTTAAAAAAAAAATTAAAAAAAAAAAAAATACGACTGCTTCACAATGAGATAATCCTGTACGAGCCGAGAGCACACTGCTTGCCACACGTTGGCTTTCAGTAGGTGGAGGCATCGTTAGCGGCAGCAGCACGAGTAGTAAGCTAAATGGCTTACGTGACAGATAAACTGAGGCTCAGAGACATTCCAGGACTATCTAAGGGTGTCGTGGCCTGCCAGTGACCGAGAGGGTAGGCCCTGGTGTCAGATGGACCTTGGATACGATCCTAGCTCCATCCCCTAGTAAGCATTGTGATTCTGGGAAGGTGGTTTGACCTTCCAAAATCTCAGGTAACTCGTTGGTAAATCGGCAGTTGCAAAATGTTTACGAGGAAATGAAACAAACTGACGTGTATTGAGCGTTCATAGTCCGCTGCCGTCTGTCGGGAGTCTGATGTGAGATCAGAAGCCGAGGCCAGGGTAGAAGACAAAGTCTGCTAATGTCATCAAGACAGTCTTGCTTCCAGAAGAAATGCGTGCACATAAATATACTCCCCTATATAAATATACGTAGATATGAGCTGAGCTAAACAGTGACTTGGTGATGTCATTCTGGCATAAGGTCCTTATCTTGTTCCTGGTGAGAGTTCATGAACCAGCCCTGGTCTACAGATGCACTTTGAGGGGCTTGGGTTTGTACCAGGCCTGGCTCACAGTGAGTGTTCAATAAATGGTGGCAGGTATTGATACTGTTGTCGTTGGCTCAGGTGAGAGGAGAGCCCAGGTCTCCTGATAATATTATCCTGTTACAGTTTTTAAGGCAGTTCTGTATCTGTTTTTTCCTTCTGATCCTCATTACTGTCGGTCTTTTTCCAAGCGAATATGAGCCCCTTTCTCAAACAGCAGCTGTGTTTGGGCTATTCTGTGTCATTTTCATTCCACGACTACTTTTTGCTTATAACGTTTTCACTATTCCCAGAAAGGAAACAATGGGCCACTTAAAAATAAACCCAGAAAAAGTGAGGTGGAGGAATACAGACAAGAGATGGAATGTCACCAGGAACTTGGGAATAGACTGTTGCATAGCTGAGCATTCAGTTTAGCTCTGAGCTTCCTGGCAGCTGAGGTGAAGAGGGAAATAATGAGTAATCTTTTATTTCACTGTTCAATGATAGGAAGATTCTAATTCTAGTAAGAGTCTGTTGTTTGGCTTTGTTTGGACTTTCATACCCTCAGTTTGAAAGTTAGCAATGCCTTTAGGAGATGCTAACGTGCCCCTCTCTCTCCTTCCTGTTTAGGTGAAGTACAAGGAAGATTATGAGAGGTCCAGAGGGAAGCTGATCGGGGCGAAGGATGCCCAGGGGGATTCACAAATGAGTCACTCGCTGCAAATGTCCAAGCTGCAGAGCGACCTGGAGTACAAGAAGGGGTTCGAGGACACCAGGTCCCAGTGCCACGTCTCCCTGGACATGGTCCACCTCGTGCACGCCCGCAAGGCTCAGCATCTAGCCACAGACATAGGCTACAAGACAGCATCTCATCACTTTACCGCTTTGCCCACAGACATGAGGGTGGAATGGGCCAAGAAGGCGTACGGATTACAGAGCGACGTAAGCTCCGTGTGCACGCGTGCGTGTGCTAGCGTTGCCGCGATGGTTTTCCCCAGCACCCCCCCTCCACCGCCCCCGAGATGGTAGTGTATCCCCTGACATACCTGCTTCTGGATCCCAGGGCGGACACAGCTCAGCTTTCCTAGTGGTTTAACCTTTATTTGAGCTCTGCCCGCTTCAGATACTATACCACCACCCAGCGACTTTTTTCCTCCGGGGCATTTGCTCTACTGTCTGTTTTCCCTCTTTCGTTTTTCTGCGGGGGGGGGGG